AGGGGTTGGAACTAGATGATCTTAAGGTCCCTTCCAACCCTAACTATTCTATGATTCTGTGATAAAATACAAATATGAGTAAAAAGGTATATTACAAAACTGTATTCTCCATCTTTATCCAATTGCATCTGGCAATTATGGTAAGGGGGTGAAGGAGAGGTTTAAAGATGACAGCTTAGTGGTTCTGCAAGTAAATTTGTAGATGTGGCTTCATACATGCAGTGACATGGGATAAAGCAAAAATAAAGGCAAATGGGCGTTGAAAACTAGTAGAGCATCAGCACGTTTTTCTTTCTTTTGTTGTCTCATCTAAGGGGGCCTAACAAGGATGTTTCTAAACAGTTATTTTTTGTTAGCACAACCTATGTAATGGTTACATATACAGAGGTTTCAGTCAGAAAATCACCTGCCTCCCTCTTATTCATTTGCTAGGCTCAGCATATACCTGGAGACAATTTTTTCTTAACTGTAGAAGTGATTGTTCCTAACAGTCATTTGATTCAGTCAAACACTGATGGTGCTTACTGCTGTGCTTTTCTCTGGAGGTGTTTAATCCAGCTCTGGAATACTTGAGCATAAAAATTAGGAATGGGGTAGAGAGCAACACATGGAGATGGAAGAGGAAAAAGATTTAAAACTATAATGTTAATCGTATCGGTCTTTTCTGTATAATACTTGAAAAAACCTCAGGTCCACCTGAAATATTTTATCTTATTTCCTGTAAAGACCTTAATCAACATAAAAATGCATTTGGGGAATACTTAAAGGTATTCTTAATGCACCTTTGTTCTTTTCAATATACTTTAAATATGTTTCCATTAACTTTCACAATAGTGCACAATGTTCCTACTTCTAAGAGCTACTTGACCCTTGTTCAAAGTCTATCACATAATAATACATTAACATAGAAATGATTTGGGGAGGTGAAGTTGAAGGCATTGAGTGGTTAGTCTTTCTTGCTCAACTGGATAGGAAATTTATTGGAAGAAAAAAATTTTTATACACTTTACATATTTTTTCTACTGCACAATACATTTCCAAACAATCAAGAATTTTGAACAGTAAATAAATACCAGCTATGCAGAGTGTTTTAAGAAGTAAATACTGCCAACTTTAGGAAAGAATCAGAAAACCTGGAAACTCGGTGCTCTGTGTTTTGCCATGGGTGCTGTGGAGAAGCCTCCTTTCTTCTCCTCTTAGCTCAAATCAGTTCACTCCAGCCATGTGCACAATAAGATCATTGGCACTAGAAAGGTAATTATTTGCTACCTGCTCACTTATTGTACATGCCTCAGTGTTGTAAAAAATTGGAATGCTGCTGTTGTGTTGAACTGACAACAAAGTCTCCTTTATTCTTTAATCCTCAGGAGTCTAATATTAGTAGAGACTCAGAATTGCAGAACTGTGAACTCCTGGTTATATTTTAAAGACTCTCATATTAAGTATTCATGCTTACTCAGAGAAGAAAAAGTGAATCAAAATACTGTGATCCAAAGGTGGAACCAGAAGAGCAGCCTTGGAGTCATGCCAGTTAGTGCTTTCTAGAAATGCTGATAAGCATGCATTGAAACTCACCCTTTATCCAGAATGCAGAAAAAAAAACAGTGTTTGGAGCGAAGTGGGTAATCGTTTTCTCCTGCCGGTCTTCTGGCAGGTGTGTTTGATGGGCTGCTTACAGTTTGTGCATGTGTATTTGAGGTGGGAAAAGGAATGCTTCTTTGCTGTCATCTTTTTCTCAGAAGCTCTCAGTGATAATTTAAGTCTTCTCTGTTTTCTGAGGGAGAAACAGACTGGGAAAAGCTGAAGAACTGAAGTACATGAAGAAGTGGGGAAGGTATAGACAAAGTCTAAGAGGGTGAACTCAGGCTTCTGTTCAAGTAAGAGAATGCATACCCTGCCAAGTGATGCCCACAGACTTTGGGAACCAGCCTTCATCTAGAGGTATCAAGGAATCAGGAGGGAAATTACTCCTCTGAATTTAGGGAAGATCTTCATTTTGTTGTGAAGAACAAAAGAATGATCTAGATTTTATGTCTCTGACCACTTTTCATGGAGTTTCAAAACCTTCTATTCAGAGTAAAGGTGCCTAGCCTTCCTTGGAGGGTGGTGGCATAGAGATACCAGAAAAACAGGGGGGAGGGATTTGTGCTTGTAGGTTTAGTACTGACAACAAGTAACCATGTGATTATTGAATTAATCAGGGTAAACACACATGGTGTTGGTAGTAGGTGGTCTGGGAACTAATTCACAGTCAGAGATCCGTAGGTTTAGTTCATCTCCTCTGATGCAGGTAGTAATAATCAATGGCTAATTAGTTGGGTTTTTTTTTCTTTCTTCTCTAGGAAGATGATTTAGGAAGAAACAAAATGCTTTTCTGTAATGGTAGGGCTTAGGACCTGGGGGACTGTGGGGATTTCATTCTCTAATCTGCGGGAATTAGCCTGACTGACAAGGAACTGGCATGCAGTTGATTTGCAGTCCTCAGTTAACTTGCAGGTATATACGATATGGAACTATGGGAATAAAGTGGTTCTTGTTTGAAGTGGAATTCATATGAAAATCCAACCGGAAGTGTTAATGCTGGAAAGGAGTTGCCACTCTGCTCTGGGGGAAAGTCAGTGCAGGTTGGATAGAAGTGCCTTTATTGTTATTATTGGAGGTTTTTTGTTTGCTTGTTTTGGTTTCTTTTTTAATCTTCAGTATGTAGTAACTACTGAAAAGGGCTGTGGTGTGAACTGTGAAAATAAGAATAATATAATTACTGACAGTAAATTCGCTGGCTATTGCACCGTATAGTACTGTATGTATATAGAGTATGCTATGTTATAGTGCTTTCTGATGTTCAAGCAGGGCTTTAAAGCAGTGTCTCCAGAGAGAAATTTTTAACTTCCAAAAAATTGTGAGTGATAAACCACTAAAGAACAACCATTCGAAGAATAAATTTTCAGGTATTGGAAAGCAGATATCAACTAAATGCATTGACTGTGGCAGCTGGCAACAGTGAGCAGCATATGGGAGAAGGTACCAGAAAGAGAAACAAGTAGGCCAGAAAGTCCTATTGTGATTTTTGGTTTATTGCTGTAGCAATTTGGGAAATCTCCTAGACAAGATTGCAGCTTTTCAAAAATTGCTAGTTGAGGAGATACTGGATCTCTTGTAAGAACTGATATTTGGATATAAAATAATTCTTTCCTACAAGGGGCATTTCATTTTGTGTGATGTATTTCTTTGTCTTGTTGCTGAAGGATGAGCAAATCATTTATGTGTTTTTTGTTTCCCCTGCTGCCTACTATCAGTTCACCTAGTGAGAAGGAAGCAGAATGTAACACCAAACAAGTTGGGTTCAAGTGGGACAGGAATAAAAGCATCATCTCTAGCTTAGCTGCTTACATCTTCATTGCAGTTGTGGGTGGAAGTTGGACCATTGTCATGTGGTTCTGAAGTTGTTGGTTTCATGCTTTGTTGAACAGTTGTTCACAGAAGAAAACTGTTTTCAAAGCTGATAATTTTTTGCCTGGTTGTTGACAGCAACTGGAAGGCAAAGTAACCTGAACTGCATAGATGTTTCTTGGACAAGACCATGGCATTTGCATGTTACAGTTGGTTGTCACTACTGTGTTGCCAAGGAGAGCTCTTCAGACACACCTCTCACAGCTATTACGTTCGTAGCGAGAAACGAGAGAATTATAATTCCTATTTATTCATTAGTCTTGTACTTGAACCACTCAGATTTTATGTGGTGTTCCAAACTTGGGCAGGTTTAAAATGGTCAAAAAGGGTGTTTCCAAGCTTCAAGAGCTGCTAAACTCTTATACCACCAAGTAAAATGTACACATTTACTTGGCATTTTTTAACATATATGCCTGTGTATATTTATGTATTTTTTAAATACTTGTATTTATATACATAAATGTTTGCTGTATTTGCTGCATTCCTCTGCCCTTTTTAAATATTAAGTGAATTTTAACAATTTATCTGCATCTTCTGGGGGTAATGGATCTTAACCTGAACTCTGCATGTGACACAGTGAGGCTCTCTAGGGCTGGCCCTAACAGCCTGTAGCTGTGCTAGGATGGCACCATGTCTGATGGTATAGACCTTGGATACTTATATGACCTGGGCAAGCCTGCTCGGTTCCAGAATCTCTTTGCTATCCTGGTTACTGTAAACATGACACCAGATGCCACAACACGGTGACGTCACATAGGAGAATCATACCAGGGTGGCATCCTCTCCCTCAGTGCTGACGAAAGGAGAGCTTTATAAGCACCCACTGGATTGCTGCTTTGGGGGTAGATCTTTATCCTCTTTCTTGTAAGGGTTAAGCAGAGCTCACATTTTCTGTTTAAAACATGCTAGCAGAAGGGGATTCTGTCCCAGGACTTTCTCTGCATTTTGCATTAAATAGCCTGATCACCAGGCTACAGAGGAGTTATCTCTTAATCTGGCTTTGCAGCCCAGTAAAACCTGCTTTGCTGGCAGGGATTCAGCAGCAGCAGAGGTAAGGAGTGTCTCTGCCAAAACTGTTACTATCCGGGTGATAGTAACAGTTTTGCATTTTCCTGCAAAACAGAAGTGGGTATCTTCTTGTTTTCTTCTGGACCTGAAGGGCTTGAGTTTGGTTTCATTTCCTGTGTGGAGGATGATAGGCACCTCCATCCCTTCTCTAGCTGTGGTAGTAATTTTGTGAAGGATGTGGGACATGGGAGTTAGATCGTGGGAGGTGACGTGTAAGGAAGCCTATATATTTGGGCCCCCCTTAGTCTCTGGATTTCACTTAGCTTAAGGTGGGAAATGTGTTTCTCAGCCTTGGTGGGACTAAGTTCTGAGTCTGCACAGAGATGGAGCTCCAGGCACCTACGAAATGTGAAGGTAAAAATGCAGCAACACCTGTAGTCTTCCAGCAGCACAGAGTTATTGTGTGAAAGAGGAGCATTGGAAGCCTGCAGTTTGAGTTAAGCATTGAAAAATCCACATATTTCCCTGAAATCCTGTTTCAGTTCAGGACTGCTAGGCTGGCCACGTTCTGCTGCACTGAAGGCCTTTCCTTCTACTCTGCCTCAACAAGCCTCACAGAGGAGATGAGGGTCTCATCCACCCCAGGCTGTGAGCATGCATATGGTGGCTGAATCTACCCTGTGCAAAGCTCTTTTCCTCTTAGTTTTGTGCAAGTATTGTGAAGACATGTACCAAAATGGCTCCTGACACATCAGGCGCAATTTCCTTGGCAGGACAAGGTGGGATTTGGCCCAAAACAGCCTTTGCAGTAAGAATTATAAGTTAGATAGTCATTAGCTGTGCTGTACTTTAGATGAGAAGTTACTGTGCTGGTTCCATGTACTTAAACCTCCTGGTTCTTTAAATAGGTGTCCTTGGCCAGCTTTTCTCACTCCATTAATCCTAGCACAGATGAACCAGCATGAATATAAATGTTTATGGCAGTCTTCACAGCTGCATATGGAATATATCTGATTGTTTGCATATAGTCAGTGCTATGGGTTTGTAATTTTATGCTCTATAAGGAGTCCTAGATAATCTTTCCGAAAGGAGCTGTGTAAATGCAGATGTAATTAGTGTTATGATTTATTTTTTTCTGGAAACAGATATCTTTTAATAAGGCACTGGAGCACAGAATAGCCATTTCCTGTGATTTTCATTCACATAATATTTATAGTGCTACAGAATAAATGAGCCATTGAAAAGGGAAAAAAAAATTAATACTGTGAATGAACTTGCCTTGAGAGGATTTTGTGATAAAATTATGAGCCTAACAAACTTCAGTAAACCAATTACTGCTCCTCCCGGATTTGTGAATATGAAAGCTCAATGGGATTTGATGTAATCCCTCCCTGTCAACAGATGGGCAGATTGTGGGTCTCTGCAGAATACATTCCAGCCTTCCCAATTCCTTCCACGGTTGGCTCTGATGATTCTTTACACATTGCCTCTTGGTGACAAAAATACTGAAAAAGGCATGTGTTAAGATGTTTGCAATGTACCTCTGTGAAAATTGTGTTTATTTTTTTCACCATTTAGTTCTTCAAATGCCTTCACATAGAAGGAGGATGGTCTTTTTTTGGGTGCCTGGTGGCACATATTATAATGGCCTACTAGTATTACTGTAGTTAAGAGTCAGCGTGTTATTCTAAACTTCTGTTTGCAGGGAAATATTGAATAGCCAGATATTTTACTCCAAGTTCAAACCTACTAAATTAAAATTACAAGAACTAAGCCATTTTTACAAGAACCCAAAATTTTTAATTCTCCTCTTTCCCTGAAATCAGTTTGATTAGTTATTTAGTTGATGCCTGCATTTTCTGCCTTCTAGGGCAGCAAACTTTCCATTTTTCAGGAAAATAGTAAAAATATTGCATCAGGTCATGGGTAAAATGATTCTGTATTTTGTCTAGTGTAATTCCAACAACATCCTTACGCTGCTTACATTTCTCCTTAGGTTGCAAATATACAGGCTTTTATATGGTAGAAAGCTGCAAGTAGTTTCATTTGCCTCAACCAAATCTACTCAACATCTTAAAAAAGTTCAACTGTTTTGTGCAGTTATGGTCTTGCTTTACGTATGAAAATACGTATGTTGGTAACTTGATACATCAGTTGTTTTCTAAGTAGTAGCTACTATTCTCAACTGTATTTAGCAGCTACTCAGTAATGAAATAAATCAGCACCTGCTTATGTGAGTATGTAAGTTACTTGGGGGCAAGACTAGGAATGATAGAAAATTTACGTTGGAAGGAAACTTGGGAGGCCCATGGCCCAACCAGCTCAGAGCAGGGCCACCTCTGTCGTGAGACCATGATCTTCAGGGCTTTGTCCAGTGAGGTCCTGAAAAACTTTGATGGAGAGTGCACAGCCTCACTGGCAACCTGCTGTACTGCTTGCCTCTGCTCTTAAGGGAAAGTTATCCTTTATGTTACTGTTTCAGCTTACACCTGTTGTCTCTTCTGCTGCCCTGTCTGAGCCCTATCATCCAACCAGGTTTTTAGTTTACCTTCTTTTTTAATTAGTTTTATGTCTAAATGTATGAACTAAATTAAATTTAGTTCACACACTTAGACCTTACCATCCTCACTTGGAGACAAAAATGTTGTGGAAGACAGTGCTGAAAGTCTTGAGAAAGTCAAAGGAAACAACAGCTGGTGTCCCCTCATCCACTTTTTATCACTATATTATTTCTGTCATTTTATCACAGTCAGGTTGGTCAGGCATGATTTAACTTTAGAAAATCCAGGCTGACTGATCCCAATCACCTTGTTCTCCTTCATATGCCCAGAAATGTGTTTTGGGAGGACAAGCTCCATAATTTCCAATGATCTCAGTGTCATATAAGGTGTTTAAAATAGCTGAAAGATGGGAAGTAACATTATATAAGAACATATTTTAAAAGGCTAAACTGAAGAACCTGTTGTATCCACATAAAACTGTGAGCAGAATCAGAGTCCTGCAACAGCTTTGCTGTAAGTCTTGGATAGTGGTGGGTTGAACTTTCACTCCTGGTACAGGGACACCCTCCTGGAAATAGCAGGTGGGGATAAGGTCAGTGAAGAACAGATAAGGCTCTAAAGGGACTTTAGTTCCTGCTTTTTACAAAAGCAGATTCTTTTTATTTTTTTTTTCCCAGACACCTTATTCCCAAGTGCAGAACACTCCTCTGGGTCTGGCAGTATTGTATTGTTATCTTCTCTGTGCTGCGCTGTAACTGTGTAAATACATTTCAAGCAGACTTTGGTATGCTCATCAACTGATTGTAGGGAAAATCCTCTGCGAAATGGTGACCCTGGATATGTTTTGAGGATCCTTACAGAAGGTAAAGAAATTAATGAGTAACTTTCAAATCAATCATTGTTATTTTTGTCAGTTTTCTATGCTTTCAAAATAACTTCCTCATGCAAAGCACTCAAGTATTGTAGAACATAAGGTGAATTAGTTCCTTTTGATAATGTTCTGAGAAAATGTGAAACTAACAATAACGTTCTTGTTGCATATAAAATATTCAATATACATGTCCATGCTGAAGTCAGAAACTTTGCGGCAGTTTCTTTTGGATGGTCCTTTCTGCCTGTCTGAATTCTTTTGTTGCTGGGGAAGGCAAACTTCTGGTTCAGAGATCCTGTACTGTTGGTGTAATGGTGTAAAAAGCTGGTCTGGGTGTTTTGGGAACATCTAAGCATTGACTACTGTTACAGAAGCAGATGTTTGTGGCTTACACTATGGACAGGTGTATCTCAGAGAAAAACTAACGGTAGTAGAACAAACTAAATGCAAGCACCTACACTGGGAAAGAGTAGTGACCCCACGTTTTTGTTTGGTTTTGTGGGTTTGTTTGTTTGGGTTTTTTTGTTTTGGTTTTGTTTTTAATTTTCAGTTTCAGGAATCAATAATATTCTTGTTTTCATAGGACAAAGAAATTGCTCATTCTGAAAAGTTTTAATTACAGTTTTGTAAGTTTCTTTCTAAAGAAATTAAGATTTGAAATCTTACAGGTAAGTAGGGTTTGTGTATGAGGACCAGTAGCATTAGAGAGTTTTGCAGTGATTTTGTATATATTTTTTGAAAAGAGCTGATGAACAATGTTAGTCCCAGCACAGGTTTTCAAGTAACTGATCACAGAGTAGTCTGGTTTGGAAGGGACCTTCAAAGGTCATGTAGTCCAGCCCCTCTGCAATAAGCAGGATGTGCTATGATATTATTTCATAGAGGTTACTTCACAATACAAATCTCTTGTTGTGAGCTCCTATTTAGTCTCACCCTGTACCCTGACAAAAAAAAGCAAAAAGCTCTTATTTTGAAAAAATTGCACTTCTCTTGTAGTAGGGGCAACAATACAGCAGGAAATGGGCCCAGAACCTCTGAAGTTATTTTGCTTTTCCACAAAAGCCTGTAGAAGATAATCACCAGACTTTATTTCCAGTCCAGTCAACATTTAACTCGCCCATCCTTTGCCAAGAAGGGCCAAAACACTATCATAGCATTTTCACCATTTCACATCAGGTTCTGCAATTAGGCTTCTCTCGCTCATCCTGGAACTTGCAGCCATAGAAGTTACTGTTTACAGCTAAGTCAAATTCAGATAGGCTTACTTGACTCCATGTGGATGTAGGCTCTGGGGAGGGTCAGTGCTTGGTGTGAAATCCCCCAAAATTCTTAGTAATCCGTTGACTCAATAAACTTGGTTTGGTGCCTGTGCGGTCTCACATGAATTGCATCGTGAGTCTGTGCAGGCTGTTTTGTGAACGTGAGTTTCAAGTTTAAATGTAATGAAGACCCGAGACAAATGTTTTTTTCAAAACATGGTGCCCCCTTATGTTTTCACCGATCGCATCAGGCACCTTTATTTCGGGTAACATAGATTCACTAGCAGTACTGTTGTGCTGAGAAGGGCTTTAAAGAGATTACTCCTGTTCTGTCAAATGATCTCACAAAGAAGCGTAAGCTGCTGCGTTCCTCGCCGCTGAGAAGCCAATACAAAGCTGCAGGAAGGCTGATGGGACCTCGCACCGCCTGCCCGTGGCGCCCGGACCCGCACACTCCCGGGCGGCGCTCGGCGGCGTCGCGCACTGACTCGCCTGCGCGGCCGGCTGGGGCTGGGGCGCCGCGGAGCCGGGCGGCCCCAGCCTCGGGCGGGTGGAGCGGCTGCGCTTCAGAGCGGACGGTGGAGGGTGGTTGTGTGCCGCTTGGGCTGATGTGCGAAGGTACTGTTCCTTGGGTTGTTTGTGTGCCGGATGCGTGCCTAGGAATTGCTGTCGCTCTGTTTTATACCGTTTATTTTGGAAGTAGAGAGCAGCGAGCAGTTATTGTGGTTATGTTGTTACTCTGTGTATAGATCTGGGGGAGAAACTTGCTGCAGAAACCAAAGCAGCAAACTTTGAACTACTAAGTCAAGCTGGGTTTTCTTCTTGGTGTTTTCTTTCCCTTGGAATTCAGTCAAGGCAAAATTGTCCCCAGAACTAATAGTTTATTAATCTGTTTAGAAAAAATCGGTCACTGTGAACCCCTCATTCCATTAGCTATAGAGTGGGGGGAGCCGGTAAAAAAAAAAAAAAAAAAAAAAAGCAACCCTATTTTTTAGTTAAGCGGGATATCCTTCCTGAAA